GTCACCACGTGTTCCGGGATCCTAGCACGCAGTACTCTCTCCATTACTTTCAGTACCACTGATGTCAAGCTGACTAGACAATAGCTAGAGCACGATTTACGCCCTCCTCCCTTGTGGATAGGAATGCCTGTCGCAAGTAACCAGTACGTGGGTAGCTGCCTCTGTGTGATGGAGGCATTGAATAGTCTATCAAGGGGCTCAGCCAAGTGTTCAGCCAGTGGTTTCAGGATAACAGGGCGAATTCCATCTGGACCTGCTGCCTTAGTTGGAATGAGCTCCCTTAAGACCCGATGCACTTCAACTGCAGAGATCACCACCTCCGGCATGAGAGTTCTCTCATGGTGCCCGATTGTGGGCTCTGGTCTACCGTCATCTGGTCTGTAAATTCCCTGGAAGTAGTTGAGGGGGGATTGCGCCTTCTCGTGGTTGGACCAAGTTTGATTCCCCCTCTCATCAGTGACTGTCACGAGAGTCCTCGGGCAGTCCCTTGGGCATCTTTTCAATGATCCCATATGCAGTAACCGGAGTGTTCCTAGTTCCTAGCAGAAGGGACATCAGGAGATCGCAATAACGATTTGTAGCAGCAGTTTGGTAGCCCTTTTCATTTTGATTTAAAGAAGTTCAATCTCAGGAAACTTATAAAAGTCTGGTAAACAGTTTCTCTTACCAATATAACCTATGCCTTATTGCAGTGCATCACTTCTATCTAATCTTTAATGGCAATAAAACGAAGCATCGCCCGCCTCAAAAGAGAGTACTTTGAGCACATTCACTTACAAACCTAACCAATATCCAAATGGAGATTATAAAAGTAACAATTTAAATTTATTGACGAAAATATTTATTTAATTGCTTCTGTCATCATAGAAACAAGATTGCATTTGTTTTTGTTCCGTTTTCGCGTTCATTGTGATGGATCCTCATCGGTTGGATCTTAAAGTAATTAGTAAAGCAAGTCATTTTTATTTTATTTAACCTTGAATTATGAGCAACAATAAATTAAGATAGCCTTTGAAAGATTTATTAAGAACACCGAAATTATTTAAACCCATCTTTGGATTATTTCCTGACAGATTTTGACACGGGCATGCTGGTAGTGATGCCTCATTACAGTGTGTACATCATGGGATTTAACAAAGATATTTTGTTACTCATTAATAATCGATGGAACAATTTTACTATCTGCGAGGATAGATTTATCGTTTACGCCCCCCCCTCCAGTTAACTAATTTCAACATCTCCGGTAGTAATGAAGGAACACAAGAACGCTCCTTTTTCTAGGGAAGAAGTGCCCGTGTTCTAGAATGTGGCGTTAAGCAAAAACGGCTTTCGACTCATTTTTCCGCTTTATTTCAGTTTCAGTTTGTACAACCATTAACCATGCACTATTGTGCGCCGGTTTTGATTGCTATCTTTCGGCTGCCCATTTGGATGAACATTAGGAGAAAGACAGGGGAGGTTGAACGTAGGTTCGAAGAGAAAATTGAAAAGTTCACTGGACTAATGATACAGAAAAGTTGAGAAGATGCACAAACGCCACTGTTTACGACACCCAGCCATGCCACTCAGTGTCTCTAACCATCGTGTACGATCATCGCGAGGTCCCCAGCCAGGGAGCCTAACAGAACCTATGTGACCCAGTCTCCTGGTTAGGGTTTTCATACCCTCATGCCAGGTCTTAGCCTGACCACCCTTGACTTTCTTCCACCCACTACCTGCCACGGCAAACATCACTCGCCGTGGCAACCTATTTGGTGACATGCGCAACACGTCCCAACCAACGTAATCTCGACCACTTGCTTCAGTGGGTGACCGCGGTTGCTTAAAACTTTTCGCCTGACCTCAGCATTGCTCGTCCGGCTTTCCTACCAGATTCGTGCAATGCTGTGTAGACAGCGATGTTCAAACACTGACAGTCTATCTTTGTCCTGTTTTCTTAATGGCCAAGTTTCTGCTCCACATAGCAGAACTGGCCAAACTGCTGCAGCATATGTATGCTGCAGCATACACTCGACCCTTCACAGACAACCGGATGTCGCGACGGCGCCACAGATGTCTCAAGTTGGCAAATGCCAACCGAGCCTTTTGTATCCGCGCCAAAAATTCGTCCACCAGGTGAGATATAGCTGCCCAGATAGCAGAATGTCTACTTCCTCTACTACTTCCCCAGTTAGGGTGAGACTGGGCGCTAGATCAACCCAATCTTGTAGTAGCATTTTACATTTTGAAGGTGCGAAACGCATACCGAATATGGCAACACTAACATTCAAACTATACAGAAAAGCTTGTAACTTACCTGGATCTTCACTTAGTAGCACAATGTCGTCTGCATACTCTAGATCAGACAGTCTGCCGCCCGTAAGTAAATCGATACCGCTATCCCTGCACGAGGATAGGGCTGTTTCAAGAATTAAATCTATGACAAAGTTAAATAGAAAAGGAGAGAGAGAGAGAGAGAGAAGGCAACCTTGACGAACACCACTTCCCGTGGTGAACTCGGGTGAAAAAGTGCTGTA